AGCTACCCTATACTGGTCTAGAATAGTCTAAGATACCATACGATGTTTCATTATAGGACACGTATACTCTTAAATGATGCCTGCCTTTTAAGTGAAAGCTTATTGAATGTATAGTTATAAAGTAGAATTGTTTAAGTTGTTGAATGTGCGCCCGTAAAGTAGAATTATAATAGCTAGTATAATAATAAAGTAGATTTGTTTTAGCTTTTTAATATATACCCGTAAAGCGGAATTATTATAGCTTATTAGATGTCTTTATAAAGAAGAATTTCTGTAGATTGTTATGCATAAACCTATAAAGTAGACGTGGGATCGTTTGTATATACTCGTCAAGTAGAATTGTTGCAGAGTGTAATACATAAATCTATAAAGTAGATAAGTTATCGTTCATTTGTAGGCCTATATAAAGTAGAATTGTGATAGTTGGATGTATCACAAAACGTGAAGATTTCTCACGTCTAGAAGGTCAGGTCAGCTTGCCCGCCACTCACCTGAGGCACGTGCATGGTGGACTCGCCACTTCCTTTTAATTAACCCATTTCGGAACTTCTCAATCAACGGCGCCTTAATGAAAGTCTACGAATTATATCAAATCCCAACACTGGTCTTATTTTCAAACAGTTTAAAAATGTGTCTGTTTAAAAAAGTCAGTAGTGAGCCAATCAAGAAGTAAAACCAAGAATAAATGTGTTAATTGATTATAGGCCTACACCAGCAGTGTGTAGATAAAAGTGCGTACAGAGCAGCCACACGATATTGACAGTGTTCCACATGACCATATTGTAAGAGGGTCACACAACCCACATAATAACTAGCATATGGGACGGTGTGACCTAGCGGTAGAGCGCTAGACTGCTAATCGAAGGTCTCAAGTTCAAATCCGGGTACAATTCAGTAGAACGTCCCTGAGTTCACCCAGCTCTGATGGGTACCTGACTCACACGTTAGGTAAAGTAAAAGGCAGCTCGGCATAGTTCTGACCACACTATCTCTTCCTATGCCGAGGTCACGGAAACAGGTGAACTCGACTTCACTTGCCCCATGGACACGTCAGGTTCATTTAGGGAACTTAACGACTAGTATAAGAGGGCCCCACGTGACTATTATAAGATGGTCCCATGTGACAATATATGGCTCATGGTGCTGGGGTCCAGTGATTTGCTACGAGGAGAGTGCCCCCCCCCCCCCGAATGGATTTTAACAGGGCTCAACCAAGGAACTCCAATGGCCCACAAACAGGTCTGCAGTACCACCCCACCCCCCCCCCCCACCCCCCATATGATCACCAACACACAAAAAAAAGGTAAACGCCCGCATGGACCCTACAGCAGAACCCAGAGTTCTGCCAAAACTGAACACAAAAAAATCTGCTTACTGCCAGAAAAATGTCATCGGCAAGTTGAGAGACGGCGTTGGCGTCAATAGGCAGATATGCGGGCTACATCTGATGGAGTCAGCTATCTGCACAACTGTGCAGACATACGGGCTACATCTGATGGAGTCAGCGATCTGCACAATTGTGCAGACATACGGGCTACATCTGTGTAGAGTCAACTTTCTGCACAATTGTGCAGAAATGCAGGCTACATCTTTATATCTTATGGAGTTAACTATGAACACATTTGTGAAGACCTGCCATTTACATTTTTGTATTTGATATAGTCAACTATTTGCACAATTGTCTTAATGTATCTGTACGCGTGTTGACGACAACTGTCCCATTGTGCATACTTGCGAGCTACATCTTTATATGTGATAGAGTCAACTGTCTGCACAATTGTGCAGACTTGCGAGCTACATCTTGAGCTTCATCTTTAAATGCGACATCAACTAGCTGCCCAACTTTGCAAATATGCAAGGTAGGCCTACATCTCTGGCACCAACTAGCTGCACAATTGTGCAGAATAGTGAGCTACGTCTTTATATGATGTACAGTACAAACTCGCCAGGCACCCAAATTAAAATTCGCTAGAGACGCAGATGTACAAAGGCTAAGTTAAAATTCGCCAAAGAGCCTAATATACAAAATTCCAATTAAAATTCGCCAGAGACCCGGATATACAGAATCCCAATTAAAATCGCCAGAGACCCGGATATAAAGTCCGTTTAAAATTCGCCAGAGACCCGGATATAAAGTCCGTTTAAAATTCGCCAGAGACCCGGATATACAGAATCCCAATTAATATTCGCTAGAGACCCGGATAAGTCCGTTTAAAATTCGCCAGAAACCCGGATATAAAATCCCGGTTAAAATTCGCCAGCGACGCTGACATCGAGTCTAAGAGTCAGAGACGCCGAGTCTACAGTCTAAGCTAGTGAAAACCAGCAACACAGTACCCATTCTTCCACTCAGCGTTAGCTTAGGTGTCGAGATAATATTCTCTTTAGTCTTTCCCCCCGCGGTATCACCACAAGCCTCGTTCTCGTACCATCCTACCTACTTTCAAACCGAGGCTACGGCCTACTTTATTTCAACTCAAAGACAAGGGCAGATAACCAAGATGCGAGTACACACACAGAGTCCGGTACTGTGGGAGGTTGTTAAGGGTAAATCTTGGCTTGGGAGTGTACTGTTACTCTAAGTCACACATGCGGCTTATGTATCAGTACTGACTCCTGGACAAAAACCTTCCTTGACATCTACCCCCCCCCCCCTCCATGGACACTAACCGTAACCCCCATATATACTAGCCTTAACCCTAAACCAAGGATACACCCTACGTTATCGCATAGGCCTACATAGATCAACTTAATGATAACAAGTCCCAATACATAAAACGGGCGTAATGTCTTCACAATTTTTATTCTATCATCCCATTATAATGTTTCTGAAACAAAGTGTGTCGTTGTTAACTATTAAATCTTCTACATATAAATATCAAAACTAACCCTATCCTTAAACTCCACACGTGTTTTGACCGTTGTTAGAATACTAACAACCTAAAACCTTATTTATTGGAAGTTTCCATTACTGGAGACCTATATGAAAATACACCAAAAGCCGATATCCTTTTTTCAATAATGACGTTGAACTTCTCCATTACATTACGTTTACACTTGCGACATGTATACCATGCTTTGCGACATGTATACTATACATGTCTAGAATAAAACAAATCGCAGCAAGTTAGTATACATGTTCTGTGAGAACAAAATATTACATAGAACATTAACTTGTTGCGAGTTGACTTTATTTTTTAAATCAAATACCTTTTCTGAACGTTGTATCGCGATACCATAATCGAAAGTATCGAGCATGAGAAAATCAACATCAAATCTAACCACAGTCTCAGTATCGTTGATAGTATCGTCATCCGCGATAATTACTATCAAACAGCGGAAGTCAAATGTACGAATACAATTAGTATACATGTACTAAATATCATCAACATTTACAAATTAAGTTCCAAATTCTTGATATTTTTTTTTTTACTAAACGTTAAATACAATCAATAAATATGTGATTACCCGCGATTTACATTACACTGTATTGGAACAGGTTTAAGGTCAAGTTGGGTATCGACCCAAGCGAGGTAACGTTTTTTACTTAATCCCGTATTCGATATTTAGTTTTTAATCGAGCGCTCGGCTTTTAAATGTTCCTGTTCTTTTAAAAATGACGATGAGAAATGTGTCGAAATTCGGGGTTGAAATTATTTGAGGGTCACCGTGACATCAGCGCGAGTTAATGCTCTTAGATGAAGCCTGAAATAGCGGACAATGTTTCCTTGATAAGAGTGGACAGAAGGGGGGTGGGGAGAGTGGTGTGGGGGGTGGACAGAAGGGGGGTTGGGGGAGGGGTGTGAGGTGTGGGGGAGTGGACAAAAGGGGGGTGGGGGAGGGGTGTGGGGGAGTGGACAGAAGGGGGTGGGGGGGAGAGGGGTGTGGAGGTGTGTGGGAGTGGACATAAGGGGGTGGGGGAGGGGTGTGGGAGTGGACAGAAGGGGGGGGGTGGGGGAGAGGGGTGTGGAGGTGTGGGGGAGTGGACAGAAGGGGGTTGGGGGGAGAGGGGTGTGACCATATTGTGACCTAGGTATTTGTAAGTGATAATAAACGAGGACAACAGCCTCTATTCTCGTCAAATTACTGTAACTTCAATTTATTAGAACTGTGTAGAGGTAGAAGTTCGAAGCCAGGGAACCGAACGGAACTATGGGGTTCGCAGTTAATAATTCTACAACTCGACCACCCCTATCACAGCAAGAGGTGTGAGATGTGCTTGGAAGGGTGGGGGTTGGCGTGACGTATGCCAGACATGGTGACACGTGTAAAACTGGGGAGGGGGGGTGAGATGCTCTCCTGATGGCACCTTCAGTACTTGACGATGTCAGCGTTAATTTACTGTTAGAGGTAATAGAGTGTTTGGTATGGTAGGTGCTGGTATAACGGTGTACCTGTCTTGTGTGATGTTGGGGTGGGTGTATGTTTTATATATATATATATTATATATATATATATATATATATATATATATATATATATATATATATATATATATATATATATATATATATATATATATATACAGAGAAATCAGGTTAATAGACGTGCTGTAATTAGGTATTAGGTACAATTACGAAAAAAGTAGATGAGCCAGTGGCCATAAATTAGAGTTCAAACATTCACCCAAACCAGGTTAAACTAAAGCAAAAATCGATGACCAATTACTTGCAGTGATTAAAGATCTATGGCCACAATCACATACGGTAGTGTTGTGTGTGTGTGTGTGTGGCTCTACCAGGTGTATGTTCGTGTGTGTGTGAACGTATCATTTTATGTGTTCGTATGTGTGAATATATGTGTGCTCGTACGTGTGTTTGTATGTGTGTTCGTATGTATGTTCTTATGCGTGAACATATTCAAATATTTATATGTGTGTTCGTACGTGTGTTTGTATGTGTTTGTATGTGTGTTCGTAAGTGTGTTCTTATGCGTGAACATATCATTCATATGTGTGTTCGTAAGTGTGAACGAATATGCGTTCGTATAATTTTACTCACCTTTGTGTCGTTGATTCCTAGATATCCATAAACCCACGTCCGACAAAGTATCCCATAAAGTGTATCCACAATGGATAAACCTAACACCACCATTGGTAAGCGGCTAGCCCAAGTTCACAGCGTTACACAAATCTCTCCATAACCAACCTGTAACACACAAAAAAACACAAAACATAAATGATATGAATCTCTTTATTTACCCCCCGCCCACAGGGTTAGCGGATAATTTATCCATACATTTATCCAACATAATTAAAGGAATTGTGTCGAGACTACGCGTAGAACGGTGTGCAATAGTGTAAAGCCTGGTCTAATTAACTGATCCGGTCGCGGTAGGCTAAACTTTACTGTACTAGTAATTTTGCCCGTAGGAGAGAGAGAGTTACGGGACATGTGGGGCTAATCTTTTTAAAATTGGTTTTTATTATAAAAGGAGAAGAGACTAAAAGCTGGTTTTTTATAGTAATATTTCAGTTAATTTGAAATAAGATCTTACTTTATTAAAACAAAGTCTGCGTTAAAAAGTTAGGGTATTAAGAAATGAAACGCACTAAAATTAAATCAAATCCGTAAGTTTCTTAGAAAAAATAACTTCGATTTTAAGAACCTTAGTAAAAACGTTAAACGTTATTTAATGGGAAAGCATTTTGAGACCAGAAATATGCACACCTCCCCCACCCTGATCCACACCTCCCCCATCCCGGTGTACACCGTCCCTACCCTGGTCCAAATCTCGCCCACCCTAGGGAATACCGTCCCTACCCTGGTACAAATCTCCCCACCCTAGGGCAAACCTCCCCCACTCTTGTCCACATCTCCCCCAACCGCATCCACACCTACCCCACCCCACACTATCCACTCAAGGTACAATCCCAGGTCACAGTGACCAGACGATGAAGCACCTGTTTCCACGAGACCCTGCGTCGTGTTTTTAGCTCTATATTGATTTGACAAAACTCTATTATTGTGGTCTGGATTTGACAAAACTCTATTATTGTGATGTTGAATTAGTATCAAACAAATGAATGAGACGCAGAGAGCGCGAGGACAATTCAAAGTTGAAGGTGTCGTGATGTTGCTAGCAGAATATGATAGGTTTGGTCAAATATCGCGAGATTTGACGACATCGTTAGAAGAATATGACGGGTTTGGTCAAATATCGCGAGATTTGACAACTACTTTCGATATCTGGTAAACACTGAGAATAAAGTCACGTCAAATATAACACTGAAAATTACAATACAGAGAAAAATGTATTCGTTCAAACGCGATCTTTTGTTTTATATACATCCCCCTCCCCCCCCCCCCATGACCCCATACATCCCCCCTCCCCCCCCCCCCCATGACCCTAGCCTTTATCTAAACCCGACCTTATATGGATATCGATAGTTAAAAACAATTCTCGATACGGTACTAAAGACGTTTTTATAAGAGCTAAATGTAGTCGAGAACTAAAACTATTATTAGCCAGTCCACTGTCAAGATTGTAAGAGTGGGTGTGTGGAGTGTGTGTGAGTGAGGAGGGGGGGGGAGAGTTGACGACACCAACAAAGCATATGTACCTAAGTAGAGTACAGAGAACTGTCCCCAGAAGGTCTACGGCCCGAGTTTTGTGAGGGGTGAGTTTTGTGAAGGGTGTGTGTTGTGGGAAGTGAGTTTTGCGAGGGGTGTGTTTTGTGAGGGGTGGATGTTGTGAGGGGTGAGTTTTGTGAGGGGTGAGTGTTGTGAGGGGTGAGTTTTGCGAGGGGTGTGTGTATAGATCAGAGCGAGGACTGACCTTGGTGAACTTTATCTAGACATTTCACGTGCATGACGTAACCTTTACCTCACCTACTCACCCGGGTTTTTTTTTTCGTGGTCATACACTATACACGCACGTATCTCATTGGGGGTGAGGGGAGGGGGGGACAACAACAGAGGGCGGGGTGAATGAAACATATAAAAATGTGTTCACAAACTTACGAAACAAATTGTCTTTAAACTAACTTTGATTTTACCATTTTTCCTCGCGGTTTCGATACCTTAACGATAATCCTAAAGCCGAAAACAGAAGTGAACTTAGATTCGATGCCATATTACCCCACCACAACTTAATACTCGTCCACTCCAAAATAGGTATAGAAAAATATGCTGGGGTCTTGAAGACAAGCTTACCACAAATATATAAAATTTTAAAAAGAATCCATTACTGTAAACCTACAAAAATACCATGTTCCTTTTTTTAAATAATTAAATGTTCTTTAACCAAAAGAAAAAAAAAACGCGGCTACAAAATAAATTACGTACAATTAACCTAATCCAAGAAAAATACACACGTATATATTTTTAATTTGTTGTATAGACCCGTCTACTTATACCAGCAATTATTCAACTAAAAATATATAAATCAATATCTCACCAATATGAGGGTATGAGAGTAAAACTACAACAGCCGGTGTAGAGGTACGGTGAGTATCTCAACAACAACAGCCAACCAAATGGTGCGCGAACGTACAAGACGCCTGCTGGTAGTGTGTGCAATGATATGCTTATCTATGCAGTATTTTTATTTTGCTCGCTAAACGTACACCGGCGCGTATATTTGAATAAACGAGTTGATTTTATTAAAATTGGTTTTAACGGTCGTAAATAGAATATGACGAGAATGATTTGGATCACTCAATATGATTCTTGATTTTTACATCAACTTGTAGAATCGATGAGTTACCTTATTAGCAGAATCGATGCCAATTATTCATATCAACTATGTAGAATCAATGCCAGCTATCTATAACTCGTTGTGTTATAGGCACCATTTATCCAGTTTAGTAGTATCGATGCCAGTTATCGACACAGCTTTGTAAAGTCTTCAACATCAATCTACAAACGCTTAACAGAATCGATGCCAACTATCCACTTTTGTAGTATCGATGCCAGTTATCAACAAAGCTTTGTAAAGTATATACCTGCTATCTACAAACACTTTACAGAATCGATGCCAACTATCCACAAACAGTTTTGTAGTATCAATACCAGTAATCAGACTTGGTAGAATCAATTATTATCCAAAACCCATTTAAGGAATCGACGCCTGCTATCCACAAAACTCTAGAATTGATACCATATATCCACAAAAACTGTGGAATCTATGCTTGTTATCCACACCACGTTAAAGAACCGATTACTGCTATCTACAAAACTGCAGAATCGATACCATATATCCACAAAAACTACGCAATCGAAGCCCGTTATCCACACCACTTTAAAGAATCGATACCAGCTATCCCCAACACTCTGTAGAATCGATACCGTGCTTGTTTAATACAATAATGATCAAACAAGACACCCCCACCCACCACCCAGCGGTCTCCGGGGTGGGGCTTAAGATTCTGCAGCCGTCCTCAAACTCCAGTTCAATCCAAACTGACAGCCATCTGGGCGGCAAGCGGTCACGTGATGCCCTAAAAAAACGGAACCAGGCTCCAAGCCCAAGCTATATGTTCCAAAATTACCGAACGAAACGTCCCATTTTCTTTGATAATTACTTTTGAAAGGGAAAAACAAAACAGAACAATGGGGATAGGAACTCGAGTTTTGTTGCTGTCGTTTGCTGTAGTTGTAAAACAGAAAGATGGCGGTGTATGTCTATATGTTCCAAAATTACCGAGTGAAGCGTCCCATTTTCTTTGATAATTACTTTTGAAAGGGAAAAACAAAGCAAAAACAATGGAGATAGGAGCTCGAGTTTTGTGGATGTCGTTTGCCGTAGTTGTAATAAGGAACGATGGCGGTGTATAAGGTACAAAGACTGGTGTAAGTGTGGTATTATCATGGGGAGAGGTGGCATGGATAGATGACATATGGAGAGATGTCATGTTGAAAGGTGAAATAAGGAGAGATATTTGTAGAGATGACATGTAGGTGTCATGTCAAGAAATGTCATGTGGTGAATTGTGTGGAGAGGTGAAATATTGAGAGCTGACAGGTGGCGATATGACATTAGATAAATAACATGTGAATAGATGACATGTAGTTAGATGTCATGTGTTCAGCAGCGCCATCATGCACATCCGCCTTTTACTTCTCTCTATACAACATGGCGGACTGACGGAGCAAAACAGGCAGAAAATTTGGTACAATCCCTAAATGAACTATTTAACCATCATCCACCCCTAAAAATAGACATTTAACCAAATTTCAAAATAGCCATTAGCCACCTTTTATCAAGCCAATAGCCTTCTTTTAAAATAGCCGATAGCCACCCTTAAACATCGCCAATTTAATCAATTTTTTTTAAACAGCCATAAGCTACTTCAACAAGCCACCCTTCAAAATAATCATCAGACACCCTTCTAAATTGCCATTTAACCAAGTTTCAAACTAGCCCTTCAAAATATCAATTTAAAAAAAATAGCCATTAGCCATCTTTCAAAATAGCCATTATCCAGCCTTCAAACTAGCCAGAAAACAAAGATTTAACCGACAGAATATAACGACCAATTTAAGGATCCCTTGCCCGGGTCCCCATAGACCCGGAAACGGGGTCCCACCACAGAATATAACGACCAATTTAAAGATCCCGTTCCAGGGTCCCCACAGACCCGGGATATAGTTTTAAAATGAACCGCCCTTTCGCCGCGATAATGATTTATTGAATTCTTCTTCTCTGAATTATTAGCTCCCAGGGGAGCTTATGCCATCAAGCTCCTTTTCCAATTCTCAGAGATAGTTTCCCCCTTCCCCTCCCCTTCCCAAAAAAATTCATCTTTTTCTTTCAAAATTTCCGTCTAGAATATTCATTTTTTCTCTCTTTCTTTACAACCCAACGCATCAATAGTTCGATACAGATGTCATCTAGGGAGGCATTCAAATGTCATGTTGACTGGTGTATGATGACCTTTTTTCCCAAACACGTTTAATGAAAATCTCTTCAGAGACAGGAGAAATAGGAAGAGAAAGGATGGCAAGACCCAAATGTCATCTTATACTTTATGGAAACGAAACCTATTAAAGTTGTGTGAAGTTGACTTTAGAGTAGACAGGTATAGAGAAATGTTATAACAGCGAGTTTCACAACTAATTCACAAGAGATTTTAACTAGAAAAACTAAATCTTTTAATGTCTAGATTACAATGTCTACAACTACAA